GGAAGCCTCTGGCTGCTGCTCTCACATGCTTGCCTCCTCTACATACAGATGCAGGAAGCTTACGGGGGCGAGGAATAGGGAAGCTATTACCCCTTACTCCTCTACCCCTCCCCCCCCCTAGACCTAACTGAGGGGGGAGGGGCACTGAAAAGGGTTTCCCATAAACTGCCATCATTTCAAATATGCGCTTGCATTTCCTGTAAATGACATGTGTTCCAAGGTCACATGACCACACGGCTTCCCTTTCCCGTGTTTACCATTTGCATGGGGCGTGACAGCACGCTGCGCCTCGGGTTAACAGGGAACAGTTGCATTCCACTGCCTCAGCACTACAAATCCCAGCATGCTTCTGCCTCTGGCAGTCATGCCTGTGGCTGTCAGTCTTGCAGTGCCTCATGGGACTTGTAGTTCCACAACAGCTGGAGCGCCGAGGTTAATTACTTTTGCACATTTTGTTTGCTACAGCACTGCATATCATCCGCAAGTGCCATTTGTTTCCTATAGAACTCTGTTTTCATGTTTCGTTATACCTCCCCCCACCCCCCAGATCTCGGTGCGGCTGATCTCCTCCGGCCACTTCCTGTCTACATGCACGTGCTCCAGTGTCATCTGCACAGCATTGCTCCGGACCAGATTCCTCCAAAGTGTGCCTGCGCAATGTGTGCTGCCTGTAGTCAATACCAGGGGGGTGTTTGTGACAGGTGACAACACAGTACAGTAACTGGGTGACCGTTGTCACCCTATAACAGCAAGTGCCTGAACAAGGTCCTTCATGGTGACCGTTTTTTTTTTTGATGGTAGCTGCAGGTTTAAAAAGGCTGAAACTCTGGGCACGGCGGGAATAGCGGTACTCCGGGCACGGCACGCTGGGAATAGCGGTACTCCGGGCACGGCGGGAATAGCGGTACTCCGGGCACGGCGGGAATAGCGGTACTCCGGGCACGGCACGCTGGGAATAGCGGTACTCCGGGCACGGCACGCTGGGAATAGCGGTACTCCGGGCACGGCACGCTGGGAATAGCGGTACTCCGGGCACGGCACGCTGGGAATAGCGGTACTCCGGGCACGGCATGCTGGGAATAGCGGTACTCCAAGCACTGGAAACAGCAATACCCCAGACACGGCATGCTGGGAATAATGGTCCCCCAGGCACTGAATGCTGGGAGCTGTAGTCCTCCAAATCTGTCCATGCTGGGTGTTGTTATGACCTGTAACACGTGCTTTGTGCTCAGCCTGGCCCCCACCTCCCTCCGGGTTACCTTGTTCTGCTCCTCCTGGAGTCGGGTCACTTCCCGGGAGCTAAACGGCCTCCCCCCCTCCTTCAGGCGCTCCATGTTCCGCCCACCCCGGGGCTCCTCACACTCTCCGGACGGAGGCCCGTGACGTCATCGTCGCGCGAGAGGCAGCGAGGAAAGCATGAAAGGTCCCACGTGGAGCCAGGGGGCGGGGCACCTGCGTAGCAACGCTGCCTGGCAACCGTACACAGTGTGACACGCCCACCAAAGCCGGAACACAACGCTATCCAATCACTGCACGCTTCCCTGTTTGCAAACCACACCCCGCTGTCACTTTGTACACACCATAGATCACCCTGCACAGCCCCATGTTTCACCCTGAACACCCTGGGGGGAATATATCAAACCCTGGAGCAGACAGAATCTGCTATTGTATTGTGACTGTAATGTCTTCCTTATATTGTAAAGCGCTGCGCAAACTATTGGCGCTATATAAATCCTGCATAATAATAATAATAATACCCCATATATAATACTATACCCCACACCCCTCTGTACACCTCATATATCACCCCACATCCCTCTGTACACCCCATATATCACCCTGTACACCCCATATATCATCATGTACGCCCCATATATAACCCTGTATACCTCACCACCCTCTGCACACTCCACATATAACCCTGTATACCCACATACCACCCAGCACCCCTCTGCACACCCTACATATCACCCTGTGCACCTCATATATCACCCTATATACCCACATACCACCCAGCACCCCTCTGCACACCCTACATATCACCCTGTGCACCTCAGATATCACCCCGTATACCCACATACCACCCAGCACCCCTCTACACACCCTATATATCACCCTGTACACCTCATATATCACCCCGTATACCCACATACCACCCAGCACCCCTCTACACACCCTATATATCACCCTGTACACCTCATATATCACCCCGTATACCCACATACCACCCAGCACCCCTCTGCACACCCCACATATCACCGTGTACACCTCATATATCACCCCGTATACCCACATACCACCCAGCACCCCTCTGCACACCCCACATATCACCGTGTACACCTCATATATCACCCTGTATACCCACATACTACCCAGCACCCCTCTGCACACCCCACATATCACCCCGTATACCCACATACCACCCAGCACCCCTCTGCACACCCTACATATCAGCATGTACACCTCAGATATCACCCCGTATACCCGCATACCACCCAGCACCCCTATGCACACCCCACATATCACCGTGTACACCTCATATATCACCCTATATACCCACATACAACCCAGCACCCCTCTGCACACCCTACATATCACTGTGTACACCTCATATATCACCCTATATACCCACATACAACCCAGCACCCCTCTGCACACCCTACATATCACCGTGTACACCTCATATATCACCCTGTATACCCACATACCACCCAGCACTCTTCTGCACACCCTGCATATCACCCTGTAAGCCCATATATCATCCTATATACCCACATACCACCCAGCACCCCTCTCCACACCCCACATATCACCGTGTACGCCTCATATATCACCCTGTATACCCACATACCACCCAGCACCCCTCTGCACACCCCACATATCACCCTGTACACCTCATATATCACCCTGTATACCCACATACCATCCAGCACTCTTCTGCACACCCTATATATCACCCTGTACACCTCATATATCACCCTGTATACCCACATACCACCCGGCACCCCTCTGCACACCCCACATATCACCCTGTACACCTCATATATCACCCCGTATACCCACATACCACCCAGCACCCCTCTGCACACCCTACATATCACCCTGTATACCTCATATATCATCCTATATACCCACATACCACCCAGCACCCCTCTCCACACCCCACATATCACCGTGTACGCCTCATATATCACCCTGTATACCCACATACCACCCAGCACCCCTCTGCACACCCCACATATCACCCTGTACACCTCATATATCACCCTGTATACCCACATACCATCCAGCACTCTTCTGCACACCCTATATATCACCCTGTACACCTCATATATCACCCTGTATTCCCACATACCACCCAGCACACTTCTGCACACCCCACATATCACCGTGTACGCCTCATATATCACCCTGTATTCCCACATACCACCCAGCACACTTCTGCACACCCCACATATCACCGTGTACGCCTCATATATCACCCTGTATTCCCACATACCACCCAGCACACTTCTGCACACCCCACATATCACCGTGTACGCCTCATATATCACCCTGTATTCCCACATACCACCCAGCACACTTCTGCACACCCCACATATCACCGTGTACGCCTCATATATCACCCTGTATTCCCACATACCACCCAGCACACTTCTGCACACCCCACATATCACCGTGTACGCCTCATATATCACCCTGTATTCCCACATACCACCCAGCACACTTCTGCACACCCCACATATCACCGTGTACGCCTCATATATCACCCTGTATTCCCACATACCACCCAGCACACTTCTGCACACCCCACATATCACCGTGTACGCCTCATATATCACCCTGTATTCCCACATACCACCCAGCACACTTCTGCACACCCCACATATCACCGTGTACGCCTCATATATCACCCTGTATTCCCACATACCACCCAGCACACTTCTGCACACCCCACATATCACCGTGTACGCCTCATATATCACCCTGTATTCCCACATACCACCCAGCACACTTCTGCACACCCCACATATCACCGTGTACGCCTCATATATCACCCTGTATTCCCACATACCACCCAGCACACTTCTGCACACCCCACATATCACCGTGTACGCCTCATATATCACCCTGTATTCCCACATACCACCCAGCACACTTCTGCACACCCCACATATCACCGTGTACGCCTCATATATCACCCTGTATTCCCACATACCACCCAGCACACTTCTGCACACCCCACATATCACCGTGTACGCCTCATATATCACCCTGTATTCCCACATACCACCCAGCACACTTCTGCACACCCCACATATCACCGTGTACGCCTCATATATCACCCTGTATTCCCACATACCACCCAGCACACTTCTGCACACCCCACATATCACCGTGTACGCCTCATATATCACCCTGTATTCCCACATACCACCCAGCACACTTCTGCACACCCCACATATCACCGTGTACGCCTCATATATCACCCTGTATTCCCACATACCACCCAGCACACTTCTGCACACCCCACATATCACCGTGTACGCCTCATATATCACCCTGTATTCCCACATACCACCCAGCACACTTCTGCACACCCCACATATCACCGTGTACGCCTCATATATCACCCTGTATTCCCACATACCACCCAGCACACTTCTGCACACCCCACATATCACCGTGTACGCCTCATATATCACCCTGTATTCCCACATACCACCCAGCACACTTCTGCACACCCCACATATCACCGTGTACGCCTCATATATCACCCTGTATTCCCACATACCACCCAGCACACTTCTGCACACCCCACATATCACCGTGTACGCCTCATATATCACCCTGTATTCCCACATACCACCCAGCACACTTCTGCACACCCCACATATCACCGTGTACGCCTCATATATCACCCTGTATTCCCACATACCACCCAGCACACTTCTGCACACCCCACATATCACCGTGTACGCCTCATATATCACCCTGTATTCCCACATACCACCCAGCACACTTCTGCACACCCCACATATCACCGTGTACGCCTCATATATCACCCTGTATTCCCACATACCACCCAGCACACTTCTGCACACCCCACATATCACCGTGTACGCCTCATATATCACCCTGTATTCCCACATACCACCCAGCACACTTCTGCACACCCCACATATCACCGTGTACGCCTCATATATCACCCTGTATTCCCACATACCACCCAGCACACTTCTGCACACCCCACATATCACCGTGTACGCCTCATATATCACCCTGTATTCCCACATACCACCCAGCACACTTCTGCACACCCCACATATCACCGTGTACGCCTCATATATCACCCTGTATTCCCACATACCACCCAGCACACTTCTGCACACCCCACATATCACCGTGTACGCCTCATATATCACCCTGTATTCCCACATACCACCCAGCACACTTCTGCACACCCCACATATCACCGTGTACGCCTCATATATCACCCTGTATTCCCACATACCACCCAGCACACTTCTGCACACCCCACATATCACCGTGTACGCCTCATATATCACCCTGTATTCCCACATACCACCCAGCACACTTCTGCACACCCCACATATCACCGTGTACGCCTCATATATCACCCTGTATTCCCACATACCACCCAGCACACTTCTGCACACCCCACATATCACCGTGTACGCCTCATATATCACCCTGTATTCCCACATACCACCCAGCACACTTCTGCACACCCCACATATCACCGTGTACGCCTCATATATCACCCTGTATTCCCACATACCACCCAGCACACTTCTGCACACCCCACATATCACCGTGTACGCCTCATATATCACCCTGTATTCCCACATACCACCCAGCACACTTCTGCACACCCCACATATCACCGTGTACGCCTCATATATCACCCTGTATTCCCACATACCACCCAGCACACTTCTGCACACCCCACATATCACCGTGTACGCCTCATATATCACCCTGTATTCCCACATACCACCCAGCACACTTCTGCACACCCCACATATCACCGTGTACGCCTCATATATCACCCTGTATTCCCACATACCACCCAGCACACTTCTGCACACCCCACATATCACCGTGTACGCCTCATATATCACCCTGTATTCCCACATACCACCCAGCACACTTCTGCACACCCCACATATCACCGTGTACGCCTCATATATCACCCTGTATTCCCACATACCACCCAGCACACTTCTGCACACCCCACATATCACCGTGTACGCCTCATATATCACCCTGTATTCCCACATACCACCCAGCACACTTCTGCACACCCCACATATCACCGTGTACGCCTCATATATCACCCTGTATTCCCACATACCACCCAGCACACTTCTGCACACCCCACATATCACCGTG